AGTCTTAATGATGAACGATGATTATTGACTCTTCTGCAGAAAAAGTTCCCGTTTCTCCGACAGACTTTTTCGTCTAACCCTTATAGCTGATGAGATTTCTGCAATTGTCAGTTTGACAGGTAAAAGTTCTTAATATTCTGTAGCAGATGCCAGTTATGTGGTCGTTAAAAATGTTATTGAGAGGGTGGGCAATGCTTGTAGAGAAGACATAAGTCAGAACAAGTGTAAAACCTCCGTTAGGTTATTCAATAAGATTATTAAATCTGGTTTTAACTACCATGTCATTTACGTTCCTCAGACGTATACAGGCAGGCCAACAGGTTCCATTAAAACACGTTGCAAGAAAAAAAATCTAATTATTTAGAGGTTGCTTTCAATACAAATAAATCCCACAGTGCATGGATGAAACATATAGATATAAGGAACAGTATTCAAGATCAAAAGTCCACAAAACAATACAAGACGGAAGCAGAGCAAACACAGATCTCCAAAACATCAGAGATGGGATCGGGTGCCATGGAGGAGTGAGAATCCCCTGCCGACCGGTCACACCCGCCGTGTGCTCCTTGTCATGATCGGAAAATGACGAAAAATCCGTCGTCAATTTAGTGTATAAATAATGGACTAACAATTAGTATGAAAAACGTCAGTCAGCATTTGACTCAATGATAAATTGAATTTGCTGACAAGGTCATTGTATCGACCATAGAACGTACGAAATGATGACTTTAAACGAGACTGGACTGCCGATATTCTTGTATCATCAACTTGTTTGTCAATAATTTACCTCGTTTAAGAAATTGTTCATACGTAGAGCATGCTCCTGTGTATCAAATCAACTGAGATATATAACCTCCGTTTGCAGGTGGTGGTATATTGCTGCATAAGTAAGGGTAGTTGACGATATAAAAGTTACTTAGAGTCATCACGTTTATCACAGAGCTTGGTTGTTAGATTACCATTAATGTCTTTTTCAAGTAAAATATCCAAATACAAAACAGATGTGTCACACTCTGTGTATCTTTTATCAAGCTCACCAGGATATATCGTATCGACATAAGAATGGAAATTATCATTCTGCTTCATGTGAGTACAAAATAGGTCTGCTAATAACGGGGCGCAATTGATACCCATGGGAATTCCAAAAGATTGAAGACCTGGTCTCCAAAAACGACATTGACATTGTCAATCAGAAACTCAAGCATTTTTTTTATTTAAACTTCAGAGTAATTGTGTGTACAATCTGAATGTTTTTTCAATATAAAATAATTTTGCAAATGACCAATGGCAAGGTAAGTAAAACAAGTTCCATATGTATTGAAAAGGCAGCTATATCAATAAGCCTGGACTTTAATTTCTCGAACAATTGAAAAATAATTCTCGAGTGTGTTCATGTTCTTTATCACCTACAACTATAGTCCTGCAACTAATTTTACACATGTACAAGGTTTAAACCTTGGTTATTCAAGTGTGGTCAAAATTTTTAAATATTATTTTGAATTCTGTAGTCTACTACGCAGACAATACTGTATGGGCCAAACATTATAAGATCTTGATAATTAGACAGAATTGATTTAATTTAAAGTATCAAATGAATGTTGAAATCTTGAATTCAGCTATTGAGGGGAAATTTAAAACCATAAATCTTTCTGCCTTTAATAAACAAGGAGGGGTAAAGCAGTTATATACCGATTGCAGCTGACAAAGCACGTAACGATATTGTTTTTATTTGCCAGGCTCATTTTTTTCATTGTATATTGGAGGAACAGGTATTTTTTTTTCTGCAAATGGTAATCCAGCTTATACCCATACTCCCTTTTAAAAGTGAAAAATCTCTAAAATCATGCGTCAGTTTTAAATATTTTTTCCCATATTTACAACAATTTAATTGAATTTGAATAACCATACCTATACTAAATTTAAAAATTACTCCATAGAAATGCTTACAAACACTGATACATAGCAGAATTCATGAAAATGAAGCAAATAAATTTCATTACCTTATAACTGGTCATCAGCAAAATAATTTTTTTTAAAAATCATTCTGATTGTACTCTGAAGTTGATATAAAAATATACTTGGGTTTCTGATTGACAACATCTACGTAGTTATAGGGAGTTAAGTCTCCCAACATTCTATTGAAATTCTCATCGGTACCAATGTTAACGTATTATTGTCAGACCTATTTTTTGTTCATGTAAAGTATAATTTATTCAAATAGTTATGGCCTTCAACTCGACATTTAGATATTGACGACATATTATCAATCAACAATAGTTATCATTTCAAGTGAACTTGAAAAAAGATATCACAGGATCTGACACACCTGTTTCATCTATAGATATTTTACTAAAAAAAAAAGACTTAAGAAATGAACATTGGTCATTTTTAATGCAAAATGTATACCTATAACATAATTGCTATAGTGTGCATTAAATATAATATCTACATGCATTTTGTTTGATCTGCCTTTAATATTTGTAAACAAAATTATTATGCATGAAGAAATGTAACCTACTATTGCGAGTACTTATCAATGCAAAAGTAGAAAAATCTTTTTTGAAAAGCCTCTAGCTACTGAGTATTACTGATACCTTATATAGTTGATTTTTATATCAAATGATTTATTAATTAAAAGTTCAATGTTTTCACATGTAGCTAACCTATATTTAAATTTTTGAAAATCGGGCCAAATTTGTAATATCAATTTGAAAATGTAGATACTCTTTGGAAAATACATTTAGGAAATTATAAGCTACATATTATGACTTTTTGAAAGTCCTCTGTGTCGACCTAGTAGTCCTACTAGACTGAAAATTACGGATAAATAACATATTCAAACATCTTTGCTTAAATAGGTGCCTTTTTTCTATACCAAAATGATAATTTTTCAGTAAAATTACTCTACCTATGTCAAAACCGCACACTTAGGCGGAAAAAAAGATTTGTAATTTGAAAGTTTGATATAACTCTTGAAAAGATTACACTGATTCCTATGATAATTCAAATCAATATACAATTTAGAAACAATTACAGATGATTTGGCGAGAGACATATTGTTTGCATTAGCCCTCTCCCATACCCAGACCTAAACTTTTTATATTTGAATTTGTGCTTTTCGATGTGTTTTCTATGTAACTCTGCGATTTTAATTGTATGTTTGATTTTATTCTTAAGATAGACATGCAGCGTTACTTTAAGAATTTTTGAAACCCTTTCCCCCTTTTTATTTATCTTTAATAATTTGCAATGATCAAAAAAGTTGCAATTAAATCATTACTGAATTTTGCTAGGAAATTTTGATTCCATATTTTTCAACAACCTCGTTTAAAGTCAGCAGTTTCAATGTTTGTTTTAGGACCGCTTCAGTAAATAAGCCTATTCTAAATTTCCTACAGATTTTTCCGTCAATCTGATCAAAACATAGAGCTCACGTGTGTGGGATTGGTCGCCAGGGATGCTTATTCATTCTAGGCACCCGATTAAACCTCTTGAATTTCAAAAAATCAGTATTTTCATCCGTATTTACAGATGTGTACTGTTTATAAGATTTTTTTAATCAATAGATTTAATTTCACTTGTATCATTTCAATTTTCACAAATTAATCTTCCAAAAAGGAATGTTATCTATCAATTGATGATATTAATTCAGATGGTATAAAAAGCAGTTGACATACATATGGAGAGAAAATATGTGTTATATTCATTGATAAGAACACTTAATATTAAATTATTCGTCTGAGATTATGAAAAACAATTACATGATATCATGAAAATTATACATATGAACAAAAATCGCAATATGGTTTATAAAATGTATATAAAAACAAAAGGAACATTAATACATTCACTTTTAAGTAAATATAGAGTGTACAATATTTGCATGGCTTTTCGTTTGATTATAAATAGTTTATGTTCTTCGAAGGAAATATTCTAATATACGATCATAATAATTATATTAATGTAAATGAATGTACATAATACATTAAGACATTTAGATTCAAATGAACAAATCTCATAGCTCGTATGCTTACCCTGCATAATCTTACAGTGTGCACAATTTAAAGACACATTTGGCGAATCAATAGTCAAAGAAAACATTGAAATATATTCTACAATAAGTTAAAGATCCGTATATTTTCTTTTATCTCTTGGATAAGAATATTTCCAAAGAGAAAAAATTAAGTAACTGGCTCAACAAAAGTTTACCAATATTCATTTTAGAGATGACACAGATGAACAAACGAAGTTCATTACAAATAGTTTCATTATTATGTTACTCTCTCTCTCTCTCTCTCTCTCTCTCTCTCTCTCTCTTTTACCATCACATGCTCATTAAGAAATTTATATTTTTGTTCTTAGATATAAATATCGAGTAAACCTGTATAGTAACATTTAAAAAAAAGGACAAGTCCATTTATTTACGCTTTAAAAACCAGAAAGCGGTTTATAAAAAATCATAAACTGCCCCAAGTTATGTTATATCATATAACCTAGGTTAAAATAAGCTTCATTCCTTATAATTCAATTTCAATGTAGACAATATTAAAGCAATTTTTTTGGCTTCACACTGAGCATATTTTGAAAATTTAAGGTCAAGCGGAGTAATACGTTTTTGACGTAACTCATTGTGACGTAAGCAACTTACGTTATACAATTTGATATTAAATAAATCTTTTATCCATTCAAATGACGTGTTATAACTATAATTAAATTATTCAAAATTATGAACAAGACTGCGAGGTTTCAAACCAGCTCGTCTGTCTCCTAACGTAAAAAAAATCCACGTCGTTGTTCTATGCCCGGAAAGTAAACAAAGTTATATATTTTTTAAATATTTGCAAATGTACTTTTATGTAAACTTTTTAGTAAAAGATACTATTTAACTAAAACATGTTTCGAATTTCAAAAGACAATAATTTTCATGTGAATCACCCTGTACTCAAACTTTCATCAACCCTCGTATATATAATAATTTAAACAGTTATCGTCTATTAAAACTTCGATATTGATATTAATTAAATAGATGTAACATCAGGCTCGACTAATTTCCCTTCTGGATCGCCTCCCTCTTCTTTCTGGCTGTGTAATGGTTTGCTTTGTGTGAGTATATTTCGCGCATGATGAACAGGCTTGGCTGAAACACGTGTCAGGCATTAGTACCAGTATAAGGCCTAGAGTAGATAGCACCACTCCAGAGAACTTCATACCATTGAAGAAACGATTCCTCCAGATATAATCCGAAACTAGAATATAAAAAAATAAAGATAAATGATTGTGATGAATAGTTTCAGACAAAAAAGAAAAATGTTTACAATAATTTACAAAAACAGAGGAAAAAATGACCAATCTCATTTTCTAAAGAAATAAAATAAACGGGGGGATTCTATAAGCAAAGAAGTTAGTGAAAGTGGGGAGGTAGAGGGTTGAGGATAAGGCAGTTACCGTTTCTCTTTAGAACTGGACATCATTATGTGCTTTATCATCGGCCATAATTACCTCTGAATTGACTCTGAGTCCAAATATTTATATCGCAAAGGTGTTTCCATTCATTAATTAACTAGTGTAAGAGTTTGTCATTGACTTTAAAAGTCAGTGCTTCTTGCAAAAATCCTATTTTGAAGTTGTTACTAAATAGGTCGTATTTTGCGCTGAACTGTTTGAAACCAATTATAAGGCCTTAATTTTATCCTTTTTTTACTTGAAAATGTACCGTCTACTTGATCAAAATACAGGGTTCACTGCAGACGTGACCGATCAACACAGGATGTTCACTCCTCCTAGGTACCCGATCCCATCTCTGGGATTCCTGGAGTTCGTGTTTAACCTTATTTACTGATTTGTATTATTTGTTGAATTTTCTGATCGACAACTTTTCGTTTTCGTCATCTTTTTCATCTTGATTTCCAAGTCAGTGTAATATTTTGTATAGTCTATATTACTTCTGTTCAATCTAAAAATATCTGCTATCAACCCCAGAGATGTTGTTTCTATTAATATATTAACAATCCAAGTTAGGAAATCGCTGCCTGAATTTGACAGTTGGATTGGACTAGAGCTCTTGCGCTACATGTATATGGGGGTGCTAGGGCAGCTAATCAGTATAACAGTAGTACAATGTAGGTGTCTAATCTCAATATGAAAAAGCATACCAACATATTTCGTAATCAAGGTGCCTCATCTAGATATTAAAAAGCATACCAAAATATTTCTTAATCAAACTAACGTTTGTGGAGTATTTTTACCATACTGGCATTATTGCGAGCTTTTGATGATAAATAAATGCCTTTTTTTAAAATATGGACTTATAAGTATAGAGCATATAATAAAAAAATTATTTCCATCAGAAAAGCAATATTTATATTTTAAAATTAATGCATCCCCCAAAACAAATGTCTTGAGAAATCTCATAAATACTAGTAATTTGTCTTCAATTTTTTTTTATGCATTAAAAGTAAAATAAATTTACAGAAGAGGATTTATCTTTTTTCTATTTTATATGTTCGTTCAGGATATGATTTTTAACAAAATATACATGTTTTAGGTACTCCTATCGACAAAGGTTTTCATTTTTCTCATATTGTTGAGTGAAGCATTTATAAGTTCTGTTAATTTTGCAATGAGACTGAACTTTTGTGACACTCAGAGCATACTTATTTAATATTTTCTTATGAATATAAAAACATTTAGATATTCTTTGTAAATAATACACAACTTTCATTATTTAAAATTAAATATAGAGATAACGAACAGTATTGAAGTTCAAAAGTCTATTAAACAAATCAGGTGAAAAGCAAACACAGGCCTCAAAAACATCAGAGGTAAGATCAAGTGTCATGTAGGGGTGAACATTTCCTGCCGACCGGTCATACCCTCCATGTCCCCAATGTCATAAACGGGGGGAAATTATCCGTAGACTATTCAGCGTGTTAAAGTGACAAAAAATGCCTAATAATTAGAATGAAATTTGTCAGTCAGCATTTCGCTCAGTCGTAAATTTGATATATTGGTCATTTTTTATCAACCAAGAATTGTATTACAATATATGTGAAGATTTATTTACATGAGAAAATGTTCAATAATGATACAAAGTTCTATGATAACGTCTTTCCACTTTAATATCCTTCCAACATCTGCAAATTGTCTGATTGTCTCACCTGCACACATGGGTACCGCCACGACCATTCCTAGACCCGTCACCAATTCCTTAGTCAGACACTCTGTATAGTTTGATAAAAACTGGAACACTGAAACAAAAAAAAGAGGGCTTGTTCTTAGTTTGAATTTTGTAGCAGTGTTACATTTGTCAAGTTACAGTATGTAGATATGATAATTAATCGTATATAATTGATACTGGCGTATCAATTGATATTTTAGTAGAGTTGGGAATCATCCTATTCTTGTTTGCTACATGTAGTTATTACTATCCACTGTGTTGATTGGTTTTTCAGACAAACCTATCATTGAAGCAGCTGTTCCAAGGAGATGATTCCAGGGTACATTGGCTCTTATATACTCCACCCCTGAATATTGTAGTCCAATAATCACTGGCCATAACATTAGAAGATTACCCAGGCCTTGTGATGGAAGAAATAAATAAGACAGAAAAAATAAAGTATTCATCTTAAATAAGCTATATCAACTATCAGCAATATTACAAGATTTTGGTTTTATTAGTAAATGAAATAACAAGTTTTAACTTTTTTCAATATGCTTCTGGTTAGATTCTTGAAGGTAGCTGGGTTTTTATTATTCTTTTTCTTTGATTTTTATGTTTTACCATAATAAATTAAAGATAAAGTGTTAATCAACTACAAAATATAATTTTCCTACGTCAAAGGACACTGATCCAGCCCGTTCCACATAAACAGATTTGACTTGGTAACAAAAAAAATCGACCTGGTGTTTTTTGAGTTTTTTTTACACTGAACCGATTTATGTTCAAACAATTATTTAGATAGCATTCTAAATATAGTTTAAAGTTTTTTTTTTACTTTGATGAGATTTATAATTTATACATGAAATATAAATGTAACGCTTCTAAACCATAATTGTTTAATTGTGTTACTTATCTCTAATGTGTACTATTTGTATTATCACAGACTTATCCCCGAAGTAACGGTCATTATAACCTACATATTCTTACAAATAAACGATTTTAATGCTGATTCTTTTATTCCTCTGCGTATACCATTATGTGAGGATATAGATAATGGTTTATCTCTGATTTCAATTCAAAATAAAAATGAAAATTCTTAGAGGAGAGACAAGATCAAAAGGTTGACATTGTTTTGAAACGACCATTAATCAAGGATATATATATATATATATATATATTACAATGGTCAGATAATCAAAAAGTAATATTAGGTGTTTTTAATTAGGAAAACTGTCATATTACACCTGTATCATATCTGTGATCAATATGTACAATACAAAAAAAGATACGAAAAACGTCCGTCATAGAATTACTTACCCATAATCGATAAAAACATTGAGAGTTGTCCAAAGCCTATACGCCCTATCCATTTCTTGAATAGGACCTGAATTAAAAATACATATTCTATGTTTCATTTCAAAAAGAGTCTAACATAAAATTAACGTAAATCTGAATAAAAGCATGAGAAAATTTTCGGCTGAAAGAACTGTGAATGATAGTATCAACCGCCGCTTATCTCGAACTCTATTTTCAAAGGTCAACATATTTTAATGACTTTTTTAAAATTTAAATAGAAATATATGTATATAAGCATCTGATCCCACCTCTCATATTTTTGGGGTCCGTGTTTGCTCTGTTTCAATTTGTATTGTTAAGTGGACTTTTGAGCGTGAATAATGTTCGTTATCTCCTTATATTTCACATATGACTTATTTACTGAAAAAAGGGATAGAGAATAATAAGAAAAGCATTATAGTTTTGGTAAAGAAATCAACAAAAACAGAAAATGTTTTTAAAGCATTCGTTTAAGTGGTTCCCCCATTCGATGTTAACTCGTCAAATATTTTCTCAGAGTGTAAGTTTTACAAGCTATATACATGTGCATTAATACGATTCTCTTATGGAGTTTTATTATTTTCGCCTTCTTGAAAGTATGATACAACTCCTGTTTTAGTAGTTTCGTCATTTAGTAAATAAAAGCTATTTTTTCAATATATACCATGTTATCGTTTCACAGAAAAAAACAACAGAATTTATGGTTAATTGCTCTGAAGAGATGAATAAAATTTTCATTTTTGTACGAATTTTATAATTTACAATGAATTTTTTTTAACTCCGTCCCCTTTAATAGAAAAAGATACAATCAATGACTTTTTTTTTTACTCTGGTGTTATAATTATTTATAAATCACTTAATATGATCTCTACTCTCAGTTCAAAAAAGTTTCATGAAAAAATCTCCATTAATTAATATTGAATAATATTGTGTAAAACACAGGCAATAATTTAGAGTTAACCAGCGTTAGTTTTGTGTGTCCAATTCACTTCAAGTAAGCATTGAAAACCTTTGATTCTAATTTTAAATATGATTTGCTCTCCTCCCGATTATTTTATTTTTGAGCTTGATTTCGGTTCATTGTCTCCATATTGTATTTCTTCAATTTTCTTGGAAAAAAATCCCACTATTTTGAAACATCTATCATGCAACGTTATTTTGTGATAAAGAAATTAGTTGAAAAAGTGTACTACAACCATTTTCTTTGGTGTCACATAATCCGATATGATCAATCGCGAAATTCCATATTATTAATCACAAAATTCAATGTATTTAATCCCTTCTTACATTATCCCATATAATTAATCATACAATTCCCTAAAAAATGTTATTCACTTCTAAGAACATTACCCTTATTCCCTTTTTCAATAATTGATATTGCTTAACATCTCGACATCTAGAAAATGTATGGCTTCTTTCATCTTCATACAATTTTTATGCTGAACAAATTGCATGAAATTAATGATTTTTTACATTATCTTAATTTACATTTTTTGGAAGAAAAGCCTTAACCGGTGGTTATTTATATTTTAAGCCATACGAAATGTACATTAATGTATTTTATCCACGGATAATTTTTTTAACTGAAAATCGCTGTACCATCAAAGTATCAGCATATATCTTTTTTTTTTTTTTTAAAAGATATCAAATTAAATGTGTTACTCAAAGGAAACTTTACAAAAATTGTCAAACATAAATATTTAGTGATATTTCCTCAAAGTATGATTAAGAAGAATTATTAGCACAGTATTATTAGAAAGTATTATTTATATGGTAAAATTATTCAATATGGGCAAATAAATGTTAACTAATCATACCTACGTGTCCTTTAAACAATTTTTCCTATTTAAAACTTTGAAGAGGTGAAATAGCCTGCTACTTTTTATTCTGGAGACAATGCCCTATGGGTCAATGGAACATTCTGTATTAAATTGGAGAAAGATTTTCAATGTTTTTCTTTTAAAGATCGAATAGTTTTCGGGCATTCTACTTTATTTAGACGGAATTTTCAAGACTACATGTATATAATTAAGATATTTTCAAATGTCCTTTTCAGGCTTTACATCAGCAAATATTTGTCTAATAATTAGTTATATAATTTTGTTGGATTTCAATGATCAATTCAAGAAAATTTCATAATCAGATACAAGTTTCAATAAATGCATTCAGTTTTCGTAATTAAATGTGAAACCCAAGATTTTAACAAAAATATGAAAACAGCAAAAAGTGATCAAGCTAAAAAGTAAATTGAGCGACATGGACCTCTTCAAATATCAGACGTGGGATCAGGTGCCATGGAGGAGTGAACATTGCTGTAGACAATTCACACCTTCCATGTGCTACTTGCCATGATCGAGTCATCAGGTAACGTTTTTAGACAATTTCGTTTGAAAAAATTACCATGACAATTTCAATGTGAAAAAACTAAAGTCGGCAATTGACCTCAATACTCCACATAGCTTTTCTATCTCCTGAGTTACGTAAACCCTGGCTTTGTTTCATCGTCTCATCATTTA